AGAAAAAACAAATGAAAGAAAAGGGAAAAAAAAAAACACAAATTTCAAAATATCCAATAAAACCAAATAAGGTGAGTATTTTTTGTTAAATTTTTAAAAGAAAACTTCACAAATATCGAGTGATAAATAGTGGATCAAATAACCTCTCAAGAACTTTAGGGTAGTTTTGGAAATTTACACATAGTAAATGTTAAGAAGTTATCTTTTACCTCTATGTATAAATGGCACCTGAAAATTAAGTTTTGCCATCCATATCATATGGTTTTATTGTGTGATAGTGACATCACATTAACCGTATCACCATTACACTGGATTTTTTACTTCTTGGGATAAAGAATATAGGCAAGTCCTGTAGTTGTTTCGGAGTAATACTGTACACCATTTATTGCTTGGCATTTGTTAAATTGTTTTTTTTGTTTTTTGTTTTTGTCAAAAATTAAACATAAAACATTGAGTTTTACTGTTTTAATATATAAATATTAAGTTGAGGCGTCACATGAACTTGCTGCATGACCATCAAATATATTTTCAGAGTAATGATAGAAAAAGTTAATCAATGGTTTTGGACATGGCTAGGTAGTACCTCAGGAGTGTTGTAATAAATAAAAAGAATGGAAACAACCACTTTGCATTGGGGAATATAAGAACAAGGGATTTGTCATTGAGTGATTGTTGGGGTGGAGTTGGTGGAGGAGAGGGGCGCAATGACCCGTAGTTTCCTAAACCATCTAATAATTTTTTTTTCGTAATGATCAGGATGAGGAAGGACAATATTTGATTTTTTGGGAAATTAAACTGTGCTTGGAGACATATAGGTACAAAAAATGAAAAAAGAAAAATGTATTTTTAATCCGCCTACTTACACTTAATGATTTGAATCGTTCAACATGTAGAGCAGTTTGACTAGACTATTCACACTGTTGGAAATGGAGGATTTAGAGGCGTTTAAAAAACGCCGCGATAGGTCCTAAAAACGCCGCCAAATCCTTTCGTGACGTTTTGCACCAAACGCCGAAGATGCGGCCGTCGCTATAACTCTATGGCGCTTTAGAAACGTCGCTTATATGACTATGGGTGGCGTTTATAAAAGTTCCATTAACGGTAAAATGACATCACCATGTTATTTAGCGACGTTTTTAAAACGCCGTCGTATCTCTTTTTCCCAAAAAATCCAACCGTTGGGATACTATTTAGCGACGTTTTTAGAAACGCCATGATAGCCCTTTTTTTTTTTTAATTGTGCTAATTTTATGTTGTTGAACTAAAAAAATACCTATAATAAAACTAAAAAATAACACTAATATGAAATAATAACTCCCATTCACATAGTAAAATCTTATCAAATGATAGTCCACAATCATTGTACAAAAAAAAAATATTCACACACAAATCATTTGAATAACATTAAGGAGTCACCAAAATAGGATGCCCCTCTATTTGAGCCAAAATAGGAATCTGAGTTCAACAAAATAGAAATCTGGACATTTGAGCCAACTTGATATTCATATTCCCATTCACAATAACCACATTCACACAAATCCTTTTCCTACCATATCAACCTAGTTTACCAAAATAGGATGCCTCTCTCTATGCAATGTCATGCATCTCTGCAATTACATTTGGAATCTAAGTTTTGTTGACTTGTAATCCAGTCTCTCCATCTTCGTCTCCAATGCACTTTTTCCATTTATCTCTGTTGTTCCCTGAACTTAAAAACATGTACAAAATTGGAGGGGGGGAAAGAGAAAAAGAGAGAGAGAAGTTGATATCAATAATCATAAACAATAGAAAATGCATCTAACCATTGATAGCAATTCCAAAATCTAACAATCTGCCAAGACAAAGTTAATGCATGGGGAAAGAAAGGAATTACTGGAGGGTTTTATATCCATGGGATGACCAAATAAGACATCACTGGTTCAAAGGGGTTGGACCTACTGACAATCATTTCGAGGATGATGATTAACCTCCAATCAAACATAAGAGTTAAACATACAGCATCCTCAAAATATATATAGACTCAAAATATGTTTGTCTAGTTGGATGCCAATGTGCAGCAAATTTGATATTTCTTTTCTTAAACTAAAATTTTAACAATCAAAAAGCAGAAATTTAAAGCAGACAGGTTGCATGGGTTTATTCTCTTTTGTGTAATCAAATTAATTATGATTTTACACAAATTGGGTGGATATATTGTTCTCATAATCATATTCTCGTATTTTGAAAATGAAATCCATTTTTGCCTATCTTGCAGTGAACTGCATTTCTTTATCAAGCAAAGAAGAGCTGTACATTTCGCATGGCCTTCTGGAGCCGGTATCTATCATGGTGGCCTAAATTTTGGAGCACAGCATAGGTAGGAGATGACTCTCAAGTCTCATCACTTTTGCTTCCTTTTGTGAACAGAACAATAGGCATAAATTCTGGAATTTATTGTTTACTAGGCTCTACTTCTTTGGTTCTCTCTTGAAAAAATGTCTGAATTTCATTTTCTGCTTCTCCTAGGAAACAAGGTTAAGGTACGTCTTTCTGTGCAGCGCACACACAGACATATATTTAATTACACATACATGATTTTGAATTTTCTTGTCAATTTTGTAAATATGAACTTCATTATTTGCTGGTAATAAAGTTTTAGCAGATGGATCCTAGAGAGCGTTCCATTTTCTCTGTCCACGATGATGGACAAGTTAGGAACTGACTTCAATATTTGTTTGTCAGTTCCCCTGCTTACTAACATTATAGAGATGTTTGCTGTGTTTTTGTCATGTGTTTTAGGTTGTAAATAGAATCAGTGAACAGATCATAGAGGAACTTCAGTTTGATGAAATACCAGAATCAATGTCAAGGGATATTATTGGATTAAAAAGTTATTTACAATGTTAATATTGTTTCTATTTCCCTCACGTTCTATCACTTTCATTCTAAAGAAACTGTAAAGAGAATACACTGTGACTATTGAGTCATGCTAATCACAACTTAATGAATTGTTAAACAAAATATCAAAAAATTTAAAATCTCAATAATACAATTTCTACACATTTTAAAACATTTTTCTACACTTTATAGATATTTTATACATCTACCAATATTATTTACAGCCCTTTAGATTACCATTAGCATTTTTCCAAACAGTTTAGTCATCTAACTTTTTTGGGGGTGAATGTTAAATGAGCTTCATCATCACATACACTGAAATAAAAATAAAAACAAAAGGCTAAAGAATTTCAATGAAGTCAGTTTTAAATGAAATTATGAGGAAACAAGTGCAGTGAATTTCCTCTCTAGGCATAAGAGTTTTTGGAATCACTCTGCAAAAAAATAAATAATGGAGTTTATGAGTGGAGAAGAGAGAGAGAGAGAGAGAGAGAGGGAGAGAGAGAGAGATTACCCTAAGACGTGGTGGCCACCATCATAGACAGCTTGGGAGATTAGACCCATCAACCCTTTTGGAACCAAATGGTTCCAAAAAAAAAAAAAAAAAAAAACAGAGCCCTTTTGTTCTCTGTTTTAGTCTCTGAAATTCGATTCCACTTTAAAGTAAAAAAAATCACAATAAAAATAAGAATGTTTCTTGACAATTGTTAATCAATTAATTACAAGAAAAATAAGAGACCTGTTTTCAAATTCAAATTGTTTCATGATATTTTGACAAGTGGTAAATGGTTACCAGTTCGTTTCCAAGCTGAATAGCGGCGAGAAGGTAGCTGGGCTTGTTGCCGGGGCTGCTACCGTAGAAAACACATACTCTCTTGAATCTTGATTTAGATAAATTAAAAATTATGGCCTTATAAATTAAATTTTTTTAGTGTTGTTAAAAAATTAAATTATATATTAAATAAAATTATAAAATTGAGAAAATATAAAATATAAAATATAAAATTAAAAAAAATTGAGTCACAACCTTTGTTGAACCATTCATGTTCAATGGAGGTTGAATATACTGAGCAACAACTCAAAGTAATGAATAACAGATCAGTTTATACTAAAAAGAGACCTTTAACATTTTCGGCAATCTACAATTTTTGCAAAACGTCACCTGCTTACATGTAGAGTGAATACTTCAAAGCACATCATCGCCATTTACTTTCAGAAGTGAGGATTTTTACACTTCAGTACAGCATTCAAGTTATGCATGTCAGAAATTAAAAAAAAAAGAAAAAATATAATAATAAAAACACCTCTACCATAGAGCATATAATATAAGGATAATGAGAAGCTACATATGTACATTCATCACATGTGCCTCCAATTGGCACTATGCAGCATGTCTGCTACTATGGAAACAAAATGGTGGTGAGATGCTAGCTCTTGAAGAAACATCTGAAAAGTCCTGAGAAAGCAGAAATAAAGAAGGACTGGTCCCAATCAAAAACACATGTAAACTAATGAATTCTGGGAAAGGTTCCATAACATTGTTTTTAAAAATAGGTAGTTGAATCCCAACTTTTGAAAACAATACATAGTCTATGAGCTCACTGGCCAAAATGGATACACCCTCTTGTATTTCTTACTAGCTCTGCTACTTCAATCTGTCATTTTCCTTCAATTGAGAAATACATAGAGCATTCTAAAGGACATGATGGCAAATTCCATCCACACCTAGTTTTTCAAAATCTTTCCCCAAAACTTTGATTGTTTCAAAAGTTGATAGAATGATCACGTTCAGCTATCATCTTCCTATACTTCACAAATAAACAGACAACTAGCCTCTACTACATTTACAAGTTTCTTTAACTTCTTTCTTTCCCCGACACTCCAGAAGAGTATGAAATTTTTCCAAAATGCCTTCAAGAAAAACCTTCCTCTCTTTTTTTGTGGTTATTTTTCAATAAGTGAACCTTCGATCACTCAAAAATCTAGTTTAAAGCCCACACAATATAGCCAGTAGAACAAAAGGCACCTCGTATTTTATAAGTAATGCAAGAGGAGATCAGCTGAAGAATTCCTCAATCTATAGCTCTACCCAAGGTGAACATCTCCAAAAACGTATCTGTACATTATGCTTTTCCATAATCCCAATAACAGTCATCTTCCGTCAAAGGTCCACGCTTAGCTGTTCCATGTAAAATTTAAGAGGTAAAACAATTTAATGAAACAAAAAGAACTAAGAAAGAAGAGATCCACCTTTTGTAACAAATTTTGATTTTGAATCAGGATGGCTATCATGCCACATCTCAAGCCACAATTCCCACATTAGAACTGGAGATCTAACAATGTGCCTGTGATTTGCTACATGAAAGCAGTTCCAACTAATTTTAGAGTGCCATTATAATTGATAAAGAGAAGAAACAAACTAGAGTAAGAAAAGAACTAGAACTATCTATATGGGTATTAGTTCTTTCCTAATGTTTAAAATTGTGAGGAAACTATAATATGGTCAAATGTTTGTGGGCTGTGGCATAATCTGTAATGCTATTACTCAGATGAAAGGAAGACAGAGAAGCTTTTACAACATTTTTTTCACTATGCTAAGAGAATATCAGCATAAATTGTACTTCATGTTCTTGTGGAATTTAAGCGAGCTAATGTTATTTCAGCAAAGATTATTTCATATTTTTTTTGTTGAATATGACCTTAAAATGCAAAACTTGCTTTCCACAACCCGTGACCTTGAGATGTAGCCATAATTTTTTCTTACTATTTTACTACCCTTGGTGCACAAACCAAAAACTCATTTATTTGGCTATAAGGTTCATTCATCCTGTTTAAGGGAAATGATACATACAATACATGTGAACAGATAAATAAGCGTGAAGTGTATAATTGATTGCTAGATACATTTACTTTCTATTAACAAATAACATATTAGATATTAGATAAAATAAAACAATGAAAAGCCTAATATTGCAAACCCAGACATTTTATAACAGAGAATTTTCACTCATTCTCAGCTAAGCATTTCCTTTAAGCCAAGTGTAAGTATTTACTGAGCCTGAAATCCTTTGAAGCCACTGTTGTCCAAAATTGCATACAACAGTTAACGTGATTTGTAAGACATTTTACATACCCTTGTCAAGCTCCCAAACTGCTGTTCTCTTTCCAGGAAGACTGTCAGAGTCTTCATAATAGGTTATGTACTTTACCCTAGGTGACCTTGACATGTTGGGAATTACATCTGCTTCATAATGATGTTCAACATTCAGGTGCACTTGTACATCTAACCCATCATGCTCGGACTGAAATTATTAACATAGCAAAGAATCAAAGAAAAGAATATATCTTTCAATTAAGAAATTGAGTAACATAGAAATGATAGAGACCCACAATTCAAATCCTCAAATACACACATAATAACGTGACAAGGGAGTTGGGTCTTCTATGGTTGAGTTTGGGGCAAATCAAAAGTTGACACATAACATGCCATGTCATTATGAGTCAAATTAGGGGAGGCTTTTTAGGGGTCACAAACATATTTTCCTTAGTAACATGTTTTGGCATAAATGCAGCAGGCATCAGCTACTCATTGTCTTCAGTAGTGAAGATGCAACATGAGACATCAATTCCAACCCCTTATTTTCAAATATATGACCAATGAGAGGACAGAATATGCATAATTATTGAACAATGCCAGAACAAAGTTTAAAATAATCCATCAAATAGAAAAAGAGGTGCATTTTAGAAGGAAATACAGATGAAGTTAAGAAAAATTGATCATTCAAATAACCATATTTGTGCAATTCAGTCCTGACAAAATGCAGAAATGAGGGACAGAAAACTACAATTTCATTGAAGTGACTTCAACTATTTCTGTCATATAAAAAGAAATTCCTTTCCTTATAGAGAATGGAGCCTTAAACAAAGGTTAGAACTAGGGCTAAATGATGCCCTATGGAATTACAAGCCTTAGATCATTTAATCAGCTGAGCAAATAGTGGGACAAAATAAAAGACTTATTTATATAATTCATGCTAAGGTTCAATAATCTGAAACAAAATTGACTACCAAAGAATTAATTGATTTGAAAAATGTGCCTAAGATAAAGAGCCTAATATCATAGATCAAGAACTCATAAGTTCTGTTTTTCATAGTCATCAATCTAACAGGCATGAGCACCACACATTGAAATGACACCAAGCATAAGTGAGAAAGACATATGTTCCAGATAAACAAGGAAAAGAAAACTGAACGTAACAATTGTCATCTAACTTTAAGAAAAAATATACTTAACACCTAAAATTTCAAAATCATGTTATACAATAAAGATTCTTCTCCACAAAACAACAATGGAAAATTATCCTTCACATTGATGACAAATGAACATGTTCAGCATATTCAAGAAAATATCTAACGATATGGATATTGATGGTATAGGTAACTGATAAAACCAGACTAGGGTTCTACTCCTTTTCTTGCTGGAGACTGTTTGTCGGAATTTGCTGGGGCGAGAAAGTGAGAGAAAATGAGAGAGGAACTGTGGGAAAATTAAGGAAAATGAGAGAGCCAACAAATTAACTAAATGGAATCAAGAAAAGCCTAAAGCTCATCTTACTCTTAGACCAATAAATAGAGCTGATGAGGTTAAAGTTAAAGCTGCTAGAATACCATACTGGAACTGGAATTGGAAAGTAAATTCATAGCTTAATAGAAGTTAACAACTATCATAAAACCATAAATGTAATTTCACAGCTTCGTATTCACAAAATAAACTACTCTCATTCTCCAAATAACTTCAATAATACAATTTAGAATTGGAGAGTTAAAATAGAAAATTGATAATCAAAACAAAATACAAAGAAGAAGCGATGGCCGATGAAAATTAACAATATAAATGGAACCAGCGTCAGAGCCAAGAGAGAAATCGATACCTCGCTGGTGCAGATGGTGGTGGCGGTGGCGGTGGAGCTTCGAAATAGAGAGAGAAAGAGAGAGAGAGAGAGAGAGAAATCGAAATCACTCTGAGATGAAATCAAAGATAAATCTCTGAGAGAGAGATCTAGAGATAGAATCGAAATCGCGGTGGCAGTGCAAACCGATCTGAATCGAAATCACGGTGGCAGTGCAGACTGATCTAAAAACGGTGAATCTGTGAGATTTGAATCAGTGAATCGGTGAATCTCGCTACCTCGCCGGTGCAGATGGTGGTGGTGGTGGTGGTAGTGGAGCTTCGAACTCGTTGAATCTGTGAGATTTGAAGGTGAGATTCAAAATAAGGGTTTTTAGAGAGGGTTGAGAGAGAGGCGATGTGAGGATTCGATGTTGGTTTATGTGTGAAGGCCTAAGGGCTTACAAAAGCTTTATTCTCATATTTAAAATAGGCGCGTGTGGCCTACCGCATTTGGAGGCATTTTTAAACGCCTTCAATTACAAAACTGTGTCGTTTTAATAAAAAAAAATATGCGACGTTTTTAAAACGTCGTTAAATATTAACAAAAATGACATTTTAAAAAGCGTCGCTAAAAAAACGCCGCAAAAACCCTTATTTCTTGTAGTGTCATATAGAAACCTAAGTTGCTCGAACAACTATAAGCAAGTTATAGTCTTTTGATCATAGTTTTAAATCGCGGTATTGGGTAATGTAACGGTATTGATCGCGGAGTATCGGTATCGGTAGTATCGATCGGTACGTATCGGGAATCAGGTGTCGCGGTGGTGAAATTTTAAAAATTATTTCACGGGTTTTTCAGCTTTTTCTTTCCCGTACCGGTCCAAACCAATGAGTATCGGCCCGTCGCGGCTTGTGTAACGGTTACAGACCAATACGTATCGGGACTCGGCCGATACGCTTGCGATTTCCAATCTTAGCGGTATATCAGCCTATATCCGTCGCGGTGTCCTATTTTTTCGATACGTATCGGCCGATATGTAACATATTGGCCGATATTTAAAACTATGCTTCTGATCTTTAATTATCCAAAATAAAGACACTACTCCAAGTTCATTAACCCTCGCCCTTCACAAATGCTCTTATAACAACTATTCCCTCTCATTCTCTCCTCTTATGGCAACATTCGGCAATCCAATCACTTTGTGGGCTCAGAAAGTGGGTTGGTCCTTCTATAAATGCTATTAGGCCGGCAACACTAATGCTAATTAGGTCGGGACTCAAACTTGCAAACCCGTCCACCAGTTGGTATTGGTCACTTTCCAAGAATGAGATGTAATCACTCATCTTCATCAAAAGGACTTGTTCAAATAAGCATTGATCATTGTCATGTTAGAATCTCATAACCCCTATGTGGAATTATTGTCATTGCTATACCCCCAAAGGACTTGTTCAAATAAGCATTGATCATTGTCATGTTAGAATCTCATAACCCCTATGTGGAATTATTGTCATTGCTATACCCCCAACTTAGGATGAATTACATTTTGTACTCTTACATTTTGCACTCCTACATTTTGTATCAAATCTCATTTTAGTCACTACATATGAAATCATGACAATCAATCCCTTTGATTTTTATACAAGTGTCAATGTCACTCTTATATTATTCTATTATTTATGGTTTTAACATAGTCCAGTCATATGACAAATATGTGACTATGAAATGAGAATGAGAGAGGGAAATCATCTCCACTTTCCACCAATACACATTTTGTCCCACATGATAAACCGTGTGAATTATATAATACAATATATATACATATGTTCATTTCCTGAAAATTATGATGCAAAAGCAAAGAAATAGAACTTTTGAAATTAAAAAAGATATTGGAGAAATCGAAGAGAAAATAAGAGGAACGGAAAAAAAAAACTGTATTATTGTGGAAAAAAAAAACTTCGTGATTCTAATTTTTGCAAAATCTTAGTTCATCTCTTTAATTGTTTATAATTTGTGTTTTTTTTTATAGCATAATACAATCATAATTTAATATAAATTTTGAGATGAAATGTGTATAGACAAGAAATGAGGTTGATTTTTGCTTTTTTTACTTTTATTTTGTAGTCATATTCTTGTCACATTACTGATTTCTGTTAAAAACTTATACGGTGAAGTAACAAAATGGGGACATTAAAACTTGACCAAAAGTTCAGGATTTAACTGTCACAATTTTATAGGTAGAAATCAAAGTGAGATTTGATACAAATTGCAAAAGTAGAAAATGTAATTTACTGTCAAAAAACACTAATTGCACGCTTCTTTAACACAAGTAATCATTTAATAAAACATTTTGAGTCAAGATATATTCATAATAAAATGGATATAACACTTCAGAGATTAGTTAGTTCATGTGAAAATGTTTTTTGGAGCTCCCAGTGCTGCCCTAATTTTGTAAATGTACTACCGAATAAGCTATGCCTGTGGCACTCTCCCAACAAAATAACTAAAATAATTTTTTTTTTTCTTTCCATGTGACTGAAAAGCATTACTCTTCCTGAGTGCAGGTTCGATGATTTATACCATGTCGGATGAGCAAGATATGCAGAAGATGGGAGGGGGCTTGCTTCCTTGTTCCCTTTTACTTATGCCATGATGCTCATGGGCAATTTTTCTCTAATTGGATTTCTTTTTCTAATTGGATTTTATTTCAAAGATGCGATGTTAAAATTAAAAATCACATAAAGGTAAAACATGAAATAAACCAAACAAAAGTCACACAATAATCAATTTTGTTTTGTTTTTTATTTTTTATTTTTGTATATATTTTTTTAAGTTTGATTTAACTAAAAATGAATTGACGTTATGCTATGAAAACTCTGCGACAATTCCAACACCATCACTCTATATCATCAACATAAATGACTAAAGTGTCTTTCAAATCAAAATCAAAATAAAAAAATCTCACGAAAAAAAAGTTCCATAAAGCATTTCCAGTCAATTATTGCATTAAACTCTTAAAAGAAACATTCCATCATGCAACATCTAAGAGTTTCCCAATCAGTGTCTATTTTTGTAAAAATGGAAACAGACAATGTGCCTGTTTGGCAGAAATTATTTACAGCTTATTTCAGCTTTCAACTTAATTTAAGCTATTTTGATGTGTTTGGTTTAGCTTGTAGTTTATAGCTTATAGCTTTGTGGAAGTCAGAAATCAGTTTATTCTTTGAGTGGAGTAGGAGATGCTTTAAGAATAAGCTGAAAATCAGCTTAAGCTGAAAATTATAAGCTATAAGCTGTTTAGGCATAAGCTATAAGCACTTTCCCACAGCTCTACCAAATAGGGCTAATAAGTCAAGTAAATTAATAAGAATGATTCAGTGTATGCATAGCTATGAAGTACCAGTACGGATATGAATACTGGTACTGGTACTGGTACGATACGGGTACGGCGATACGGTAAAATTTTTAAAAAATAAGGTACGGATACGACTTGGTACGCTTGTAAAAAAATATTTATTTTTAATTTAGAGTAATTCAAAAATTAATTAAATGGTTTAATTTGTTAAGGTCCAACCTATAATTAATATTTAATGCCAAAAGTAAAAGTATAAATTAAAATTAAATGTCAATATATTAAATAACTTACGAATCATAGTTTAATTTTAAAATCATGCTAAGCATAAAACAAAAATAAAGAAGAAGTCTAGTAAAATGAGTTTTATCTGTGTAGTAGAAGAAAAATATTATTTCAACTGAGGTACGGTACAGCTTGGATATATACTAGGTACGTCTGGGTACGCCAAAAAATTAAGAAGAAAAAACTTGAGTATGTGTTTCGTGTACTCGGTACGTATGCAAAAGTACCATACGAGGTACGGTACGCTGGTAAGTACCCGATACAAATACAACATGTTTTTCGAAATACTCATGCTTCATAGATGCATAGTCCGAAAATTTGAAAGATTACATCATATCATATTTAGGTTTTAAAGTCAACAAACTTGCGTTAAATTGAGCAAAAATACCACAATTAATTTCTACAAACAACAAAGCAAAACAAAACCATATTTAGCTTATGAAATCAATCTCAGTTTTCAAAACTGGGCAAACCAAATGACAAAGCCAGTTACAACATTACATCATGACTAGAGGGAAAAAAAAAACTTGAGATATTGTATTCCTGGTATTTGACTGTGGGGACATAATTTTTGAATGACATCACGTGGCCGAGGTGGCACCAAACTGTCAGTCGAGGTGCCACGTGTCCTGATCATGACGCTGAGGTAATCTCAGATAGGCCGAGGTTATCTCCAAAGATACCGGAATTCAGGATAAGCGGATAAGAGACAAGAGTCCTAGATTGGGAGAGGACTTCAGTTTGGATAAAGATAAGACTCTTAGAGAGTTTATCCCATTCCTACTGCGAGTCCAAGATTAGCAGTAATCCAAAGTCCATTGAAGCTAGGCTTCTATTGGGACTAGGTTTGTGTTGGCTATAAAAGAGAGGCGCCCCCATGGGTCAAAGGTACGTTTTTAATATTCTAAATAGTGAGTTAAGCACTTTTGCTATATTTTAGAGATAACTGACTTAATCGTCGGAGTGCCCCCGGGTGAACGAACCACCACTAGAACCTCTTCTTTTTGTTGCAGGTCATTCGGGCACGATCTATTCTGCCAGTGTTCGCCAGCTGAGTACTAATTTGGTAGTGTGGTCAGAAATTGACTCACACAATTTGGCGCCGTCTGTGGAAAAGAAAGGAGAATAGATGGCCAATAACGGACATAAAGAGAAGGTTGGGGACGACACTCCTACTGGGAGTGGGAAACCTATTGACCTTGACGTCGAAGAAAACAACTGTAACAAAGAGACTCGTGATAAGAATCATGGAGAAAAAGACGTCGACAAGGAAGGCGACATAACAAAGAAATCAAACTGAGGTGGGTATTACAATGAGGACGACCTTCAAGTATGGAAAGATAGATGCCTACGGAGAACGATGAGATGAAGGAACTGGCAAACAAATTGGCGGACCTACAATCGGTCGTCAATTTCATGATGCAGAACAACGTTATGCAAGCACCGTTCCCGTTGCAAGATACACCGATTCCAGCGGCCAAAAAAGATGCCCCGACAGGGGGACAGAGGACAATTCCTGCGACTCCTCAGCATGATAGAACCAAGGAACATTCTCACTGAACTTCAAGGGAGGTCAGGCGAGGAGAATCAAGAAGGGGAGATTCACAGAGGATGCATTGCACCATGAAAGCTGACCCCAAAGAACATCGGTATGTTCAGGGGAAGGAGTTGTGTTTCGATGTAACTAATGGAGAGATGTCCAAAAGGACTCACAACGATACTGGGAGTAGCACACCAAAAAGGCTGAAATCTGTTGATAGCCAATCTCCTAGACGGACCAAGGAGGATCTGAGGGGTTACTTCCAAAGGAAGCAACAAGATGCCGAGGTAACCTCTCCGGTCAAGCCGAGAACACCGTTCTCGGTGGAGTTGGAAAAATTTGAGGCCCCAAAAAGGTTCAATATGCCGAGCTTACAGATATATGACGGTAAGTCAGACCCTAACTTTCACGTCTGCTTGTACCTGAACTCAATGGCGTTGTACACCGGGAACGAGCCGTTGCTTTGCAAGGTATTCCCCTCATCCTTCGAAGAAATTGCATTGGACTGGTTTCACAAGTTGCCGAAAGGAACTGTGAAAACCTGGGAAGGCCTGGCTGAGATGTTTGTGGCTAGATTCGTGACAAACAAACTACAGCCATTGAGAGTGGACGCCCTGATGGCTTTAAGAATTGACGAGGATGAAAGCCTTAGGGCCTATGCCAAAAGATATTATGAGGTGTTCAACCGTATTCCCGGATACAACCAGGAGGTGGCAGTCGTATCTTTTAAGAACGGCCTGAAGGATGATTGCCTGCTTCGAAAATCATTGGCAAAGACATTGCCAAAAAGTATGGAGAAACTTATGGCCAGGATAGAAAAATATGCCAGGGCCGAGGAGGACACGCAGGGGACAAAGGCGTCAAAACAAGAGAAGAAAAATGGCTCGCTGAAGCGAGGCCAAGGTCATGGTGGATACAATAAACCAGAGACAGGACTGAGGGCTACACAAACAGTCACTATCATATTCTGGATTCCGATCTACAAAGTCCTAGAGAGAATTAGAAACCAACCATATTATAGGGCACCAGAGAAGGCCCTTGGCGAGTTCATCGGACGAAGCCTAGGGAAGCATTGCGCCTACCACAATGAGAAATGGCATCTGACTCAAGGGTGCAGAGCCCTCAAGACACATCTAAAAGACCTGGTAAGACAAGGTCATCTAAGGGACCTGGTAAACGAGACCAGGGCAAGAGAAGAGCAAGCAAGACTGCCTCAGGTTTCAATAGCACCGACATCCCCAGCACCGCAACCGCAGGACGCGGACCTCGAGTGATCAATGTGATTCACTCGAAGGTCAATGAGAACGAAATCCGTGGGGAGACCCAGAAGGTAAAGCACCTGCAGCATGTGTACCAAGTCCGCCAGAAGAGACCTAGGGCAGAGGAGTGCCAAGGACCAGTGGTGTCCTTTACAAAAGATGATCTAGAGATGGTGCAGCATCCACACAATGATGCCTTGGTGGCATCCTTCCAGATTGGAGAGTGCCAAGTGAAGCGCATCTTAATCGACCTAGGTAACCCTTGTGACATCATGTGTGTCAGATGTTACAAGGAGCTTGGCCTTCATCAAGATGGTCTGGAACAATCCAATGGTCCTATGGTCGGGTTCAATGGAATGTCGATGTGGCCCTTGGAAGCAGTAAGTTTAGAGGTGCAGGCTGGCACCAAGAAGATTAAAACTAAGTTCACTATAATTGATACTCCTTCACCTTACAATGCTATCCTGGGAAGGCCATGGCTGCATGCAATGGGGGCTGTTCCTTCAACATTGCACCAGCTGTTGCAGTTCCCAACAGAGCATGGAATTGAAGAGGTCAGGGGGGATCAACTGCAATCAAAGAATTGCTCCATGGAAACAATGAAGTCTACCTGTAACAGAGGGGAAACAGAAACAGCAGAGATCGAGGACAAGGACATGAAAGTCTTGGAGGACGTCGGCAAGGAGCCAGCCGAGAAGAGTGAGGAAGCCCTGAAGAAAATTCTTGTCCGGCAAAGGGATGAAGAATACTTCTTTCTTCTCGGCTCGTGCTTGGTCGAGGAAGAGAAAAAAGAGCTGGAGACGTTCTTGAGGGCAAACATTGAGGTGTTTTCCTGGACACGATACGAGATGCCTGGTATTGACCCCGAGGTCACTTGTCATAGGCTAAATGTGGACAGGTCGGCCAAACCTATCATCCAGCGAGCAAGGAGGCTGACATTAATGCATGTTGAGGCAGTAGAAGAGGAAGTAGATAGACTTCTAGAGGGCAGAGCCATTCGAGAGGTAAATTACCCGACATGGCTATCAAACACAGTAGTGGTGAAGAAAAAGAATGGGAAGTGGAGAGTCTGTGTGGACTTCACCAGCCTGAACAAGGCTTGTCCCAAAGACAGCTTCCCATTACCCAAAATTGACCAATTAGTAGATGTCACTTCAGGGCATGGAATGATGAGCTTCCTAGATGCCTACAGGGGGTACCATCAGATAGACATGTACCCCCCAGATGAGGAGAAGACTTCATTTATCATCCCAAAAGGGTTGTACTACTACAGAGTGATGCCTTTTGGATTGAAAAATGCAAGAGCAACTTACTAGAGATTGATAACAAAGATGTTCAGACATCTGATTGCCAAAACTGTTGAGGTATACATAGACGATATGGTCGTAAAGACCAAGGAACCTGAGGGTCATCTAGAAGACCTAAAGACAGTTTTTGACATCCTTAGAAAATATAGGCTCCGACTCAATGCATCGAAGAGTGCATTTGGAGTTAGGTCTGGTAAGTTCTTAGGATATTTGGTTACCAGAAGGGGTATTGAGGCTAGCCCGGATCAGATTAAGGCCATTCTAGAATTGAAGAGCCCAACATTGGCGAAGCAAGTGCAGATGTTGACTGGAAAGACTGCAGCCCTAAACAGATTTATAAGCAGAAGCTCTGACAAATGTAAACCTTTCTTCAGCTTAGTGAAGAAAGCCGCAGACTTCTTATGGACAGAAGAGTGCGAAGTCGCCTTCGCCGACTTGAAGAAGTATCTCACCACAACCCCAGTTCTCTCAAATCCAGTATCTGGAGAGGAGCTGTTATTATACTTGGCAGTTTCAGAGCATGCAGCAAGTGCAATAATAGTCATAGAAGAAAAAGGAGAGAAAATGAAAGTTTACTATGTGAGTAAAATCCTGGCAGATGCAGAGACCAGATACCTACCCCTGGAGAAGTTAACACTGGCTTTAGTAATGGCTTCAAAGAAGCTGAATCATTACTTTCAAGCCCACAAAATTGTGATATTAACCGAACATCCTTTGAGGTCCCTATTACAGCAATGAGATTTAACAGGCAGAATAGCCAGGTTGGCAGTAATGTTGGGCCAATATGATCTGGAATTCAGACCCAGAACAGCAATCAAAGGCCAAGTCTTAGCTGACTTCGTGGCTGAGTTCACACCAGATGCCGTCATACATCGGGCTCCGTTGAGCTGAGGTATACAACGTCCAAGTGAGCAAGGAAAAACCCAGCGGGGGACAGCAGAACAAAGGAAGGAAGAAAAACTCAAGCCCTACAATATTTATATCAACGATTCCTTCCAGTTGTTTATTGATGGAAGTTCAAACCGACAAGGAGCGGAGGCAGGAATAGTGCTAGTATCTCCAGATGGGCAGATACTGGAACAGTCCATTCGTCTAGGGTTTAAGGCTTCAAACAATGAAGTAGTGTATGAGGCACTAATAGCAGGATTAAAGCTGGCAACAGCCATGGAAGCTGACGAGGTAATAGTCTTTTGTAACTCCCAACTTATAGTCAACCAAGCAACAAGCGAATATGTAGCCCGAGATGAAAGGATGTCGGCCTTGATGTGTGGGGATGCCTCACAAGGCATTCCCTGCCCCTCCAAGGCAAAACACAAGTGTTTGGTGCAAAACCAGACACAACATGGTCGAGTCGAGAGGTCCTGAGGCAAGGCGCGCAACCGAGACCTCCGGGAACTCAAGACGAACACAAACAAAGGTAATCACCAAGTGTTCCAATGGTGACGTCCAAGTCTTGAGGACGGTCAAAAATGGGGTGTCTACAGCAAGATTCAGTCTGACAGCAGAAGGCCATCTCTACAGAAGGTCCTTCACTGGAACCCTTTTAAAGTGCGTACACCCTTCGCAGGTTGAAGACTTTTTATATGAAATTCATGAAGGAATTTGTGGAAGCCACACTGGAGGCAGATCACTCACTCATAGGGCCATTTCCCAGGGGTATTGGTGGCCCTACATGCAAAAAGATGCAGAGGCCTACGGAAAGAAATGTGAACAATGTCAAAGGTTTGCACCTTTGATACACCAGCTAGCTGCTGACCTCAACCCTGTATCCAGTCCTTGGCCATTTGCCCAATGGGGCATGGATCTTGTTGGGCAATTACCCTAAGCAACTGGGCAAAGGAAGTACTTGTTGGTAGCAACAGATTACTTCGCAAAGTGGATAGAAGCAGAACCTCTAGCCAAGATCCGAGATATGGATGTCAATAACCTCATATGGAGAAACATCATCACCAGATTTGGGATTCCAAGAGCAATAGTTGCCGACAATGGAACACAATTTCATAGTAAGCTAATCAAGAGCTTCTGTGCAAAGTTCAAGATCAAGAATTACTATTCCACCCTAAGTTTTCCTCAAAGCAATGGGCAAGCAGAAGCATCTAACAAAGTTATCTTGGATGGAATTAAGAAGAGGTTGCAGGCAGCAAAAGGAAAGTGGGTGGATGAGTTACCCAGTGTACTCTAGGCATATCGGACTACGCCGAGAAGATCAACTGGGGAATCCCTATATGCCATGGCGTTTGGCGCAGAGGCAATAATTCCACTGGAGGTCAGCATCCCAGGGATCAGAATCTAGGGAGTAGAGAATGGGACCAATGAGGCATTCTTAGCCTGAGATCTGGATCTACTAGAGGAATGAAGGGAGAAAGCAGTAATTCAGCTGGGGGCATACCACCAGCAGCTTGCCAGGGCCTATAATAAGAAGATCAACCTGTGAAAGTTCCAAGTTGGTGACCTCGTCTTGAGAAAGGTCGTCGGTAATAAGAAGGATCCCAGAGAGGGCAAGCTTGGCCCGAATTGGGAAATACCCTATAGAATCATCTCGGTCTTAGGCAACAGGGCATATTGGCTTGAGGATTGTGAAGGCAAAGAGCTACCAAGACCCTGGAATACTTGCAATCTGAAGTTTTTCTATCACTAGAATTTCTTGTCTTTTAAAAGTTTTCTTTTGTTTTGTTATTAGCCGAAGTATTAATAAAGTTTTAGCTTGATTTTTAAAACTTGTGTATTGTGACTAATCAGGTACTTGAGGATGTTTCTGATTGAAACATGACGAATAACTTAGACTTCTTATATAGCAGAGTTCCTACTTGCATATAATAGAGTTGAACTAAGTTTGCGATGTTTCTAAGTGAAACATAACGAATAACTTAGACTTATTATATGGCAGAGCTCCTACTTGCATATAATAGAGTTGAACTAAGTTTGCGGTGTTTCTAAGTGAAACATGACGAATAACTTAGATTTATTATATGGCAGAGTTCCTACTTGCATATAATAGAGTTGAACTAAGTTTACGATGTTTCTAATTAAAACATGACGAATAACTTGGACTTATTATATGGCAGAGCTCCTACTTGCACATAATAGAGTTGAACCAAGTTGGATCAACTTGAACTTGCATGTCGGCAGAGTCAAACACAGAATGGAGCTAAGTGCACATCAGTCAGATTAACAAAGAGACCAAGGTTGGTAACCTCGGGCAGTCTCTGTCTGAATCTGACCTCGGCGACAAGGTCAAAGCCACATGCTTAATGAGAACCCAAGTGGAACTTAAGTTCACATTAGGGGGTAGAGGGCTGGAGAATAATGCTTGGGAGTTGGAATTTACAAGGAAGATGGTTTAACACTTGTTGAAATTTTGAGAAAAATTTACAAGTTGAAGTTAAACTGAGACTATGTTAAAAGAAGATGGTTTAACGCTTGTTGAAATTTTGAGAAAAATTTACAAGTTGAAGTTAATTCAAGGTTATGTTAAAGGACGATGGTTTAACACTTGTTGAAATTTTGAGAAAAATTTACAAGTTGAAGTTAAACTGAGACTATGTTAAAAGAAGATGGTTTAACGCTTGTTGAAATTTTGAGAAAAATTTACAAGTTGAAGTTAATTCAAGATTATGTTATAATAATAGAAGATAGAGGTCTTGAGCGAAGTGGCAAGTTGTAAATAACACTTGTGAAAATAGTATGAATATTTTCAAGTGTTAGGTCAGAGCTGAAATAAGCTGTTAGTGAGAATAGCCAAAATATTCCACACCGAGAAATTACACAGTTAAGGTGTATGTTGAAAACATGGAAATTATTCTAAGTATAGAATCATACAAGACAGTAAAAGGAAGACAAACATACAATCACATTGAGGGAAGAAAGTTATACTTGCATTCAGATAAGGAAGTTCAAATACAAAAAGGCACTTCGGCCTGATATTGGAGATTACTTGTTCAGAATAGATGAAGGCACATCGGTCAAATAAAAGCTTACATTTGTTCCAAAAGGAAAAAAAGTACAAGGTACAAGAAAAAGAAAAAGACATCGAACTAGACTATTCAGCATCTTTGGTTGGTTGGGATTGAGGTTTCGAAGACAGTTGGGAAGACATATTGGCGGCCTTCTCAGCCGCGAGCTTAGCATCAATCTCTTGAAGAGTCTGGTCGATGCTTTTCTCGGCGATAGGTGCGCCCGATGTTGTCCTCTCAGGAGTGGCATCTTTGGAGACCTCACCCTCCTCATCTTGAGACAAGTCCACGACTTGCTCATTCAGAGTAGGGGACTTGGCCCCAACAGCTTCATTCTTCTTCCTGACCAAAGCTTCCTCCTCAAACTCAGAATCGTTTTCGAATTGGCTTGGAGTAGGGGGGAATGGCAGGGAGAGGTTGCCAACATTCTTGAGGGGGGAGTCCTCGGGGGCATCCAGCTTTTTCAGGGCAGCCATCCAACCTAGGGTAAAACCCTTGTTGCATGCCTGCTTCACTTGTTTTTTTGTAGTCCTCCGTGACGTCAGCCGCCCCCTCGGCATATGCCTTTTCATCGGCGGCCTTGATTTCGGCCTCTTTTGTGGCCAGGGTATGTTGAAGCTCTTTTTGGGCCTCGACCATTTTCACCTCGGCCTCTTTCTTTTCTGCCGCAAGGACCTTGGCAATGGCCTCAGCAGCGTCAGCCTTTTCCTCGGCATCATTCTGAGCCTTCTTGGCTGCCTCGGCTTGATCTGTCAAACCCTTTAGTTTGCCCCCAGCTTTGTTAAGGGCCCTCAGCAAGCTTACAGCCTCCTTGGTTTTATTTGCCAACTCCTTCTTGATGGCAAAGGCCTGCATCGCAAAGGAGTGGCCATGCTGGATCGCCTAGAAGAAATGGAAAAGTCGAGTTAGTAAAACTCTCTAAGTTTGAAAAAGTAGAAAATGAAAAAAAATACCAAGTGTTAGGGGCTTACTTGGACGGAGCGTTGCAGCATTAGAGCAAAGTTTTCATACTTGCTCATCTCGGCATTGCGATCGAGATCTGAGGGGAGGAGCGGCGCAGTAGAGAAGGCAACGCCGACTTCAATATCATCGGCGTTGTCACTAGCTCTAACCGGGATGTCCTCAATTGTAACGGGAGAAGCCTAGGGGGCATTAGATTTCATGGACCCCGAGGTTGTTGCTGGCTCAGACCTCAGCCTCTTCGACTGAGTTGATTGGGATGGTTCAGCCTCGGCGGGCCTCTTCTCGGCAGCGGAGGGGGTCTTTTCGCTCTCAGCCAATTTTGAAATTGGCAAGGTGTTCTCAGTGTCAATCTAAGTCACCGCTGCCTTAGGCTGGCCCTTCTTCAGTCTTTTGGGCTTTGGCTTTAGTTGAGGTTGGGATTGTTCTGGTTGGCCAGAAGATTTTCTACGACTGCTTTCTTTTGACCCATCTCGACAATGATTGCAGTTCGGCGTCGGCATTTGTGTTGAGATGGAGGGATCAGATATGGAGCCGAGGTTAACGGTCGCTCAGCTAGATCAGAGGTTGATCCCTGGTTTGGCCGAGGTGATGTAGTTGCTGGAGGAGTTGTGGCGGAATGAGGAGATTTGCTCTTCTTCCTTGGGGCGTCAGGTAAAACGGATTTATAGGTTGGAATGTAGTTGAGCAGTAAGGGAGCTCTCCGCCTCTGAACTAGCAGATCCAATAGCTTTTTCAAGTCCTTGCTAGGGAAGAAGGACTTACGGAAGTCCTTTGTCGACTGTGGAAGAGCTGCAAGAAAAACAGACATTAGAACATGTAAAAAGAACAAAGTGTTAAGGACTTGGAAAACAAGTAAGTGTAACATATGACTCTTACCGTTACCCTCTATGAAAACTGTTCGGCTAAGAGGGTAGAGATGAAGGTCTTCATCTGGAGTGAACTCCCAGTTGTCCGAGACAATGAAGTAATCGTCTCCGACTCCCTTGTTGGAGTCTGGGAGGTCGGCAACAAGTTTGTATTCTGTGGACCTCGGTTTGAGGTAATAGATGTAGCATTTTTCTAACTTAAGGCCACACATGGTGTAGCAGTATTGGATGTCGGCTAAAGTCACCCTAGCATTCTCTTTTTTGGCTAAGGCTATTATGTCGTTAATAACTCGGTAGGAGTTGATGGCGAGCTGCATTGGGTTCAATTTGTAATAATGAAGGATTTCTCGAAAAAGTATGCCAAGTGGGAGCCTAAGTCCACACTCTATGAAAGTTACGACTAGGAAAGGCATGGAGTCAACTGTGGGCATGATGGGGTCATCCTCCCCAGCCAACCTCAGATGGATGTTGGCCGAGATGGAAAACTCCTGCCTGAAATATTCCAGCTTGGTTGGGGTGCCTACTTTATACCTCCACAGACCCATGATGTCAGCTTGGGGGAAAGTGTTGGATTTCAAAAGGAAGTGTTTTGTGAAGGTTTGAAGGACCTCGGCAAAAACCAAATGTGTGCTGGGGTAAGAATTTTTGAGGATCTAAGAAGAATTTGTTTCATTTTTCCCTAATATTTGTGGGTTCTACGAAAAATCCCAAACCTAAGTCTATGAAAACAAAGATTGAAGGCAAGAATCTGGAGAAAACACAGAAAAAAAAAAAAAGAAACAAAAACAAAGATTCAGAATCAAGAATGATGATGCTTTATCAAGAACACTGTGACAAAGTGTGTGCAAGGGTGCAAGGCCAAGAACAGTGGCAAAATAAGCAAAGTGTGTGGATACATGTGTGTACCCAGAAACAAGTGAAACAAAATATGATTCAAGCATACAAAGGGGGAAATTTGAAGCACAGACAGGAATGGGAGCATATGAATATGTTCAAACATGACTAATAAGCAGAGGCAATAAAATGTGAAACAAGAAATTGAAACGAAGGAACAGTGACTTACCGAAGAAAATGAGGCAGATGTAAAATATGTCGGTAGCGGACGGAGGGAGAGACCAAAGAAGTGCAGCAAAAGCCTTGCCAGAAGGGAAGAGTGAAGGTGGTTGCAGAGAGCTTTACGAGAGCAACAATGGCAGATTTGGAGGAGAAAGTTAGCGTGAGAAAAAACTGAAAGCTTACACGAAGACGAAGATGCAAAAGTGAAAAGACGGAGAGAGAGAGAGAGAGAGAGAAATGGTTTTGATCAAAACCACGAAATGGCGGCAAAATTACCATCAATGTGCCTAGGACGACATGCTTGTCAGACGGCGCACGCAGATGTAAAGCGACTTAAAGGCGCGTGTCAAGTACGATCCAGTGAGGGAAAGACGCGTGGCAGAAAGGTTGAAATACTGTGCGTGATAGCTTTCACGTGTGATAAAACTCTTGGAGTTCTTGGTTTAAAGAAGCAAAGACCTCGGCTAGGAGGATGATCTCGGCTAAATAATTTAAAATGACTTGATTATTTGCTCTAAAGGCATTTGGGGAAAATATATTGCAGATCTTGGTCATATTGAGCCGACAAGTCTTGATTTCGACAATACATAATGGACTTAGCATAGCCAACGTTCTACATGGTTAAATGATATAGGTTCCATAACCTCAGTATGCCGAGGTAATAGAACCTAAGGGGCAGTTGTGGGGACATAATTTTTGAATGACATCACGTGGCCGAGGCGGCACCAAAGTGTCAGCCGAGGTGCCACGTGTCCTGATCATGATACCGAGGTAATCTCGGATAGGCCGAGGTTATCTCCGAAGATACCGAAATCCGAGATAAGCGGATAAGGGACAAGACTCCTAAATTGGAAGAGGACTTCAGTTTGGATAAAGATAAGACTCTTAGAGAGTTTATCCCATTCCTATTGGGAATCCAAGATTA